GTCTTTATAAATTAGATACTTTCTATTACCCAATGCCCACGGCCATACAGTGTCTCAAGAATACAATATTAATTATCTAATACATGCTGTAGCTAGTATTTCAAAGAATCTTTTCTGTGTTACAATTTGCAACATTTCTGCAAGGCACTTTCTTAAAGAAATCATCCTTATTCTTTTATTTGCTCAGCAGACTGTAAAGTGCTTTCTTTATTTTTGCTGCTGCTGGACTTTGAGCAGATCTCTTTCAAAGTTCTCCTTCAAAACCTAAATTTTTTTGACTGACTTTTGCCAGAAATCTCAAAAGTGCTGTCTTGTTTTCACCCAACATGGCTGCCTTTCTCTCTTTCTCCTGAAAATTTCAACTGGATGCTTCTGCCTTTTGAGTTCTTTGAATAATCCTGATTTCAGGAAAGCACTTAATGTCAGTCCTGTCACTGAACCTTTTGTGCTTCCCTTTCCTCATACTTCAAATGCTGCCAAGCCTCACCTTTTCTACACTTGGGAAAACTTTTTCCATGGACTTTGTATTTCCATTCATGTTTTTGTGAGGTCTAGTCAGACTAATATAACGGACTGCACATCCCATGTAAATAATGAACTAGAAATTCATTCTTGTCCATGTTTTACTAATACAGCAGGAAAAAACAAACCTGTATCAAAGGGGGAGTTCCCACATGCATGACTGGTGCCATCAGGTGATGCTTCAGCTCCCTCCCCACTCCCAGGTCTGTTAAGAGAGGGTGTAGGTAAAACCTACTGAGCTCTGCCTTATGCAGGGCTGGATTATGGGTCCATCCAACCTGATACTGCAGACACTGATCTGGCAGTGACTTTCCAGAGTGTCAGGAAGGACTTTTCCAGTCTCACCTGAAGAAGCCAAGGAGTGAACCAGGAGGTTCTGTATGGAAAGCAGGTACCACAGAACTACAGCCCCTTTTTGTTTTGGCCTTTTCAGTGCAAGGTGACATCATTTTCCCAGGCCATTTAAGTGAGTTCATATTTTATTCAAAGTGACCCTTCAACATTACTGCTTCACCTGGCCTCTCACACAAACATCTAGCTCCAGAAACCTCAGCTGCAACCGAGTCTGCAAGGGCCTCAACTCTACTGCTGCACCCCAACATGAGTAAGTCAAGCCTAATTGTCAAAATGAGACTGCCAACTACTTAAGCACCCAAAAACATGGAGAGAACCCAAGCATTCATGGCCAGTTCTCTCCGCTCTGCATTGAGAAACTATGGGTAGTTGGCAGGTAGTTCTCTCTCTCTGACAGAAGACAGAGTAGGCAGGTCACAAGACACAACAAGCCATGCTGAAATTTTACATTGTAGGTTTGTTGTGTCATCTGGACCCAGTTCTGGAGTTCCGGTGTGGTAGGATTAGTTTGCTGACACTACAGAGAGAATCAACAATCTGTTCTATGGTTCCCACAATTCATCCCAGCTTCTCTTGCAATCCAGACACATGATCACCATTTTACCATTGTTGGTATAGAAACACCATGGAGTCCTCTGGCAAGAGCAGCTATGGAACCGGCCACTTCTAGCTTTTGTGCTCTATTGCTTTCATAGCAACAGGTATGTAACTGCTGGATTATTTCTATTGGCCAGTTGATGTGTCCATCTCCTCACTGACTTTGGGAAACAGAGAGACAGTGCAAAAATACACCAAAGTAGATGGGGAGAATCATCACAAAATAGTTTATTTTCATTTAATAAAAATATCGATGGAGGCTGGAGTGGCTTGGATGTGATGAGACATGTAAGTACACTCAGGAGGGAGAAGGAAGAACCTCCCACAAGACTGCAGTGGACCAATCAGGAGAAGGCTGCAGCAAGGCTGGAGAAAGAATGGAGATTTCACTTGTGGGTGTTGCTGTGATGCATGGCAAAACTGGGAGGATGGAGGGAAGAACATGGAAACTACACTGCCTGGGTGAGCAGGCAGTCCAGGCAAAAATCGGTATGCCATGATGTGCAGGGCAGAAAAAAGTACAGGTCTGCCATGTTGTGCTAACCCAGCTAGTAAGTGTGCCAGGGGAAATACCAGCCTGTGGGCTGCCTGTAGTGACCCATAACTGCTCTCCTTAGCCTTGCCCCCAAATCTGCTTAATGACGGCTCAGCCTGGTCCTTGAACATGGACTTCAAAAATGCCCTCTGAAGGCTGCTGAGTTCTCAAGGCCTTCACTCTGGAAGTCTTCCAGGCTCTTTCCTTGGACCTCTTTGGTCTTCTCTGCTTGTCTCTTCTCTGCCCCTTTGCTGGACGAACCTCGTCTGCCAGTCTCTCAGGTCTTGCTCAGTCATGGCTGTCCTACATCTTGTTGCCTGCTTGGAATTTGGGGGCAGTGGGGCTGCATAATCATGGGAGGGCAGCAGTAATTTTGCTGGATCGGGGAATGCGGACAACATGCAGCTTTTGTGGCTTTCAGTGGGGTGTTTATGGGCTGTCTCTGATGACTTTTCCTTGGATGTCTGCTGCCTGGGGAAGTAAGACTCATAGTTTTAGGCTCTGTCAGTTCTGCTGTGCTCTCCACTGGAATGTGCCCTTCTGTCTGGAAAAGATTAGTTGCCCTGAACCATGCAGAAAGAGGAGCACTGACCATGAACTTCCCAAATCCATGAACGTTTCCACTATGTATCAGTGAAGGCATTCACTTAACTATTGATTTGGGCAATGTTTTATACTTCCAGTTGCTTAAATGAACTCCCATGACAGGTATGCACTATGCACACATGGTTTCAAAGAGATCGGTCACTAAATTAATTATTCCTAGCCTTGTAGGCATTTAAAGTGAAATCCTATTTTGTATTCTATGTAAAAGGATATTTTGAGGAAGGAAATTTCAGCATTTATTAGTCTACTTGTGAAGGGGAAACCTGATGAATATACAGTGAAGTTAATGCAAAATACAACCAACATTCCTAAAATTATTAGAGGTTTAACCTTTCATCACTTCACATATTCTTTAATCTTTACTTTCCTGGGTCTTTTGTTCCTTATTAAACTCTATTGGATTTTGTTACAGGATTTTGGAGGCACATAATACACTGTAAAACACATCAAGTTACGTAAGCATGTGTGTGAGAGATTTTATTTCCACCCGAAAGTTCTGCTTCATTTAAAGGCAAATATTTTACTCCTATGGCTCTGATAGATCTTTTGTTACTATGCTGGGACTCAGAATAATCTAACATTGCTGCAATCCTATTTTCAACCAGGAACAAAGGAACATCAGCACAGCAGCTGCAGAAACAGATACTCATGGAGAAATGCCCACTGATACTCCCACAACATCACTAGCATCTCCCCTGGCCACCCACCAGTCATGATGTTGTAGGCTAGCAACTGATACAGAGCAGCTTCCCCCAGCTCAGTACATACACAATCCTATGTGTATAATGCACAACTGGGCAGTTATGCCCAAGAGGTAGGAGGCACCCATGAAGGGCCTGCAAGTTTTCCAGTAGCAGGATTCAAACACCTGATGTCAGAATAACAACACAGTTGCTAAGATTACAAACCTTTAACACTAATTCAGTCTACACGAAATATATTATTCTGTTTCTGCCTTTGGGGCTAAAATAAATATCATTCTCTAAACTTGATGAACAGTGAGCATCAAATGGGCGGATTTAAATTTTCAGGCTTTATCAGCCATCATTTTGGACTATGGAAGTTAATTTTAGTTTAACATTTGTTAAGCTTTTTGAATGCATCAGTAACCATACTAATAATGCATCCTTCTATAATTCAGTGTGAATTCTTAAGCAAGGAATAAAAGTATGATGTAATCAGTAGCTTTAGCCCCAGATGGTTTCTAGTTATTGCTGGAAGCAGATGCTGGCTACATTGATCCAACAAGGCAGTTATAAAAGTAATATTTTTTGGGTTGGAGAAAAACTCCTAATTGTGGAGGAATGATTTTTCTTGTGTGCTGGTAGCTTCTATACATACCTTACCTGAGTGAATCAAACTTCATCCAGAGAATCTGCTCGACATGGACAAACTAGTCTTCATAGAGAATTCTTCCCTTTTTCTTGTTCAGGTTACACAAGTGCCCAACACAAAGAAGGTCAAGAGTTCTATGCTCTTGGGTATCTTACCCTATGCTATGAGGTTTTAATGAGGAAAAAAGTGTCATCAGATGGTCACAGAACAATATATGAGATAGGCAAAGCATACTCTAGTTAATATGAAATAAAATGAAAATAAAAACTGAATATTTAAAGCTCACAATAATGTCCTGTCATCAAAAATAGATGTTTCAGGACTATTTAGACATCAACAGACTGTTGAATCAAAGCTCTGTATCACTCCTCCACTGTTTTCTAAAACGTGAAACGTACTACAAAGCTTATTTAAATCTAATTTTCATAGAACACATTAAAATGATTTTTTGCAATCTACCATGTAGTGATGAAAGATGAAGAGAATGAAGGATAAGCCTTTGGGTATACATATACATAGATTGAGGAAGTCTAATAATACAGATTATAGACAAACAGTATACCTTTCTTTACAAGGCCTTGATTTGCAACCCTGAAATCTCAAATTTAGCTATTACAATGAAGTCCTGTTGCAGACAGAGCTGGGGTTTTTTTATCACCACTTAAAATCTAATTAATCCGTATTGAAGCACAAAGATTTCTGTTGTTTTTTCTTTTAGGGTGAGGGGTCATAGAGCGTTCTTTGTTCATCCTCAGACTTGTAATCATCAGGCATTGGGATATAATTTTACCAAGCAAATTGGAAGGTAACAAATCAAATCCTTATCAGAAAACCTAACTCATGGTTAAGCAGAGTCCTTCGTCCTTACAAGAAACATTATATTCAGGAAGAACAAAAACACATTTCAGAGCTCTGAAAGGGTTAATATCCAAAGCTTATATTGAGGGCAGCAAAGAGCTAAAGATCATTAGAGCAGCGGCTGCCATTTAAGGTAGCGATTCTTATAGAGTTGGCCAAAAGGCTCCCTAGCCAGGCGATTTCAGCCCTTAGGATGGCTTTGGTGTACCGAACCACGCTGCAGTTAGCTGGAATTCTGTTTTGCTTGTTGGGATGGGTGTTATCCTGCCTCACTACCTATCTACCTCAGTGGAAAAATCTCAACCTAGAACTGAATGAGTTGGAAATCTGGACAATGGGACTCTGGCAAGCCTGTGTAGTCCAGGAAGAAGGGGGAATGCAATGCAAGGAATTTGATTCTTTTTTGGCTTTACCCCCCGAGCTCCAAATTTCTAGGATTCTGATGTTTGTATCCAATGGATTAGGACTTTCGGGCCTCTTGTTCTCAGGTTTTGGATTGGACTGCTTGAAGATCGGTGAACAACAACAGGATCTAAAGAAGAGGATGCTGCTGTTGGGAGGAATATTCTTTTGGATATCTGGAGTCACAGCCATAGTCCCTGTATCTTGGGTTGCTCACATCACTGTACAGGAATTCTGGGATGAAAACATTCCAGACATCGTTCCCAGGTGGGACTTTGGGGAAGCACTGTTTATAGGCTGGTTTGCTGGCTTCTGTCTCATCTTAGGAGGCTCACTGCTAAATTGCACTGTCTGTTCTACTGATGCTCAATCATCCTCAGTCCATTATACAGTGGCAGAAGTGCAAGATACCTGTCAACACTTGGAAAGTGACAACAGACCCAAAAGCCTAAGAGTCTGAGAGAGACAGAAAGGATTCTTTTTCTTTTCAGACACTTAAACACACCAGGCAGAACCTTGTTCCAATTAAGATTCAAAGGACTCTTTGTTCCTTAGCCGATTCATTACACTTGGGCTTCTAAATCTTTCTTCCTGTACCTTTTATTTCATGAGCAGCGTTTTACCCTCGTTATTACAAAGCTGAAAATGCTGGCTTCACAACAGGAAGAGATTTGAATGACTATGTAGAAAATCACCACCATGTAATTTTGTCTCCTTCAGCCAAAATGTAAAAGCAAAATAAAAACATCCAAAGTTCAAATAAGATATAAGAAAATGTAATATGATTCCTTATATTACAGAACTCCACACTACTAAATCTAATAACTGACTTCTGTTGCCCATTGTTCTTCAATTTCAACAATCTTAGTGTATGAGGAACAACACGGAACACTACTTAGCACAAAAAATTCCCCCCTCTTGAAATTCGCTATCAGGTATCCAGGTATCCTGAAACACTGTTTAAAAGATTTAAGTGATATCACCTAGTAACTCAACTTATGGAAAATGTAAAGTTAATTTTTTTTCATCTGGATGTGCTTATGTCTGCTTCTTTTTCATATATATATGAAGCAAACAAAAAATCCTATCAGATACCTGCTAAATATTACTCTTGTAAATAACAACTGATGTTCTACATATATATAGTTAAGCTTTAAACATGGATAATAACATTTCCTAAAATCTGAGAACCACTGCATTTGCTTCACTCTGTGAGGGCAACATTCCTTTTAATTTATCTGTTGAACTGGATGTTGGGGGGGGGGGGTGTCCATGTCCCATGAATATGCAGTCTATAGCTTCTTTTATTCAACAGCTGCGTTGCTACATAATTTAAACTTTAAATAACACTAGACTCTTAAGTTTGCAATTCTATACTTGCTTATATGGAGAAAGCCTAATTTAAGTAAATAGGACTTACTTCTGAGTAGGTATGTATAGAATTGTGTTGGTGAAAGCTATCCAAGGAAGTGTCTGAATATTCTACTTAGGAAGAAACCATCTAAGTTACTGCTTTAGCATCAGAGGGGAATGGTAAGAAAAATGACTTGATGTTCTTTAGCAAAAGAAAGTAAAATTTCAGTGTGAAAATTGTAAGTAGCTGTTTACACGCAGTCCTAACACAACCTTCCACTCACCTACAACAAAATATCTGAAGCAGGTTAAAACAGGTGCAAATCTGTAGAAATGTTATAGTATTTATTAGGACATGATAACTGGTGTGTTTAATAAGTTGGAAGGATGGAATAGCCTGGGCATAGCTTTTTATGAAAAAGAAAAGTGAGAGTCACATAAGAATGTTAATCTTTTTCCTTTGTTTTAAGAGGTCACCCTTTAGGGAATGTTAGCATCTATGACAGATGGATAATTGCCTGACCCCAAGAACAAAAGTAACAAAAATATCACTGTAATCTGACTTCAAGGTTCGTCTTGTTCTGGTTAATATATGATACCCATATTGCAGAAATTTGGTAAGAGGCTACTCAAAATATTGCTGCCAGATAAGAATAAAAGATTATAATGTTCATTGGTTACTTTAGTAGATTCCTGCTTCTCTGCCCAGTCTGCACATTCATCATAATTTTTCAATTCATTAGACCATCAACACTTTGAAACTGACATAACAATCATGGACAAGGGATGGCAGAGAGATGTCCATCTAAGAGTCCACAAGGACTCTTAAAATGCATACTTCATTAAGTAAAATATTTTAAAAATTATAATACTTTCTGCCAAATCTAAAATATTTTGTTCAAATTTTGAGTGACAAACTGATACTTCAGTACCCCCTATGTTACTTTTTGGAAGTATCTATGTTTTTGCTATCATTAGATGTGTAAAATAAGATGCATATGCATTAGTAGCACATATTTTGTGGTATTAGATAATCAAACTGAATGCAAAACATCACAGGGTCTGCCACATACTAAATTCCTTTTGCTTTAGAAGTGATAATGCCACCATGGGTTTATGAGGAATCAAAGGATTCCTCTTTGCCCTATCCATTCCTAAAGGTATCTAGCATTAAGATGATTAACAGTTTTCCATTCTGGAAACAGGTCATGGTCATTTTAGTTCCATTTAAAACGTGTATTCAAAACTAGTTCCAGATTTTTTTTTTGTTAAATTATGTAATATGGAAAAGGAGTATGAATATGATGTAGTGCCTTCCTGGAATTCAGGCTCAAGTTCACTTTTGATACTACCTCTCAGTTTTCAGTTGTGGCTATCAGAAAAGACTCATGTAGATGCTGCTTCATATTATTGACTGATAAAATATAGTTCAAACAATTTATAATAATGCTGACTGACTCTTTGATATTACATAGCCTAGCTGTTATGCAAAAAAATGTTTTTTGTATGTACAAGCATTTATACAAATCTCAGAGACTTGAAGAGGGTGATAATTTTGCAAAAATCTCCCAAAACCCAACAGAACACTAGTGGACAAAACCTTTGTTAAAAAAATGTATTTTTTCAAATCACTGAAACAAATAGAAAGTGCAGAAAAAAGTTAATCTAGATGATGTACATGTGTACATTTATAGACAATATTAGGACAGAAAGACATTCATGATATAACCTGATTAAATATTTAGTTCAGTCCTGAGCATTTTATACTTAAATGTAACATTAAGGTAAAAAGTTGAAATTTGATTTTCATTCTATATTGATTTGCTATCCTTGTTCATTTGGCTAACCAGTAATATTATCTTATACCAGCAATACTTAGAATGTACTATAAAGAACTGTACTAACATATTGATAATGGGAGTATAAAAATTATTTGTTCTATCCTGTTAAGGGTAACCCTTACTAGAAAAGTGATGTCTGCATAGTATGGCGTTTGATTTAATTTTCAAAGTTGTTCTATCACTGCATGTTGCTTCATTGCTGTAAATAAACTAGGTTAGTATAAAAAACCCAGAACTGTTCAAAATGTATTCCTAAAAATAAGTTGGTATTACCATGATCTTAGGATGGGAGAGAATGTATTAATGCATGGAAGATCTCTCTTATTTTATAAATGAGCAACATTTACAAAAGCCAGCTAAATTTTCCTGCCAGTATAATTAGAGAGAATCCTTTTTGGTTTCCTCTGAAATTCATTTAGTGTGTGTGTGTGTGTGTGTGTGTGTGTGTGTAAACAGCTTGGCCGATACAAAACTAGAAAGCTGTACACATTTCTCACAGTAGTTTTTTTTTAACCCGCAAATTTTAAATGGCCAGAACTGAACTATATTAAGCAGTACATAAATAAGACTGAAAATAAATAAATCACAAGATACAATTCTATACATCATTCTACAAACATATTTTCAAATTGAGAAGCTGAAACAGTCAACCTTCATTACTATATTAAATAATTTTGAAACTTTAGTTTTTAGAGATTGACCTCAGCAGAATGAATGGCATGTATGTGTTTATATTACTTCTAAAACATAGATAAAACAAAAAGGGCCATCCACGAAGTATCAGGCAGAGTTAGTTTACCGACTAGTTCCAGTTGTGAAGTGATGTATACAGAATCTGTATAATTACACAGACCTCTGGATAATAAGAGAACACTTGGGGAGATTTATAAACATAAATTAAGGCACAATATATTTTCACCAGTGATTCTAGAGATGTCAACAAACACATTGCAGTTATGTTGTCCTAATCTTTCAGCAAGACTATTAGATTTTGGGAAAATACAACACCTTTATATACAATGTGTTGCAAAATAGACAGTGCTGAAACAGCTCAAGCCCTTTTTTTCCTTGATGGATTTCATATATAGTATATGTTTGCATGTATGTATGACATACATAAGAAGAAAGTGTGCTCATCAAAGGGCTTTAGAACCATTCAACCAACTTGCACACCTTTAACTGAGATTCCATTATCTGTAAGCAGTATTTATGGAACTTACAGGCTGACCCTATAAATGTATACTCGGAAGTCCTTTTGAGTTCAGTAGAATTTATACCTGACTAAGTGTGCAGCCTTAATTTAGTAAGTGTTGCTCATCACTGCTAAGAATCCCAGTCCTTCTTAGCAGTCGCATGCCTTTTTCTGGGCTGCTCAGTTCCTTCTGCAGCAGCCATGCTAATGGCAGACCATCTGATGAACTCTCTGTCTACAAAGGGTGCAGACCTCAACCTCATCAACCACTTGCTGCTAGATCACACTTAGAAGGACTACTGGGAGTAAGCATGCTACATATGCACATATATGCATATCTGCAAATACAAACTGTTTTGAGGAGTGACCAGAACATTTTGTTTCAAATTCAAATTCTGACAAACACATTCATATCGTCTTTTACCTTTTATCAACAGAAATTCCTGTTCAAACAAGCTAAGTTCCTACTATAGACACCTAGATCATGCTTATTCCTTATTGTGCCACAATTAATTTAGGAATCAGCCTATGTGGTGTATTTAAACTTTATCCTACTAATACATCATTTTAAGTGCTCCATATCATGGGGTTTTCTTAAAAGGAATTTCTATACCAACCATAATATATATTTGGTGCTTAGTTCAATGAATTTCCTAAGAACCACTAAGAAAATTGCACAGCTCTCTTCGGGCTCTATGGACTACCTATGGTACTAGACATACAATGTTATGTTTAATTGTTAGCATTACCTTTCAGTATTTGATAACTCAGGTTTAAATATTTCTTGTGTGCACCTGAGCCCAGTTTTAGAAAAAAAAGCTGCCCTTTGGGTAGTTTCAGTTTAAATACATTTCATGGTTACAATCTTGCCCTATATTACCTCTCCCAATTTTCAGATGCAAGAAGACCTGTAAATCCCAATAGAGCTTAAAGTCCAGTACATTCATGAAATTCAGCTCCTGCAATTCAGTATCCCATGCCTCTTCCTTCATACCAAAGAGATAAAAAGGAAAATGGATTCAGAGGTGAAAGTTCCAATGTAGTTGATAGAAATCTAAACAGCACCTGTTTGCATGAGGCAGCCTTGCTGTTTTGAAAGAGAATTGTTTCTGTTGTTAGCTAAAAAAGAAAAAGAAAAGAAAAAAATCGCACTTTGTACAAAAATATTGCATGGCCTAATAGCCATCTTCACAGTCTGCCCTTGTGAAAAAAGTGAAACAAAACCTCCTGTTGAACGTAATATTTTTCAACACAGTGCAGTTCAAACAGGATATAGACACCAGTTTCTGCCTTTGTTCCTTAGATCCATCTTTACAAAATAGTAGCACACATGTAATACATACAACCTGTACAAAATTACCATCAGTATTCTGGAAGTATTCTACTTTGGTTTTCTGATGTGGGAGATCTGGGCAGGGAAGAGAGGGCTTTTTCTAGCCTTTAAAAAACAAACAAACAAAATTAAATACCAGAGCATAATGTACTGTATGCTATATTTTTACAAATAATATCTGAAGGTGGGTGTAAAATAGAAGATTTTAAAATCATGGAACTCTACTACAGAAACTGTCATCTTAAAAAAATAAACAATTAGAGAACATCTTGTGGAAAATACAGTTAGACATCATCAGCTGGCAGAGAGGGTATGCTGATCTTTGCTCTTGTAAAGTATGCAATCTTCTCCCTTAGAAGAAAAAAGGGAAAAAAGGGGGGGCGGTCATAAAGAAGGAATGCATTTTAAGTGGTTACAGTATGCAATTATCACTGAGCATCAGCATGCAAAATTGAAGAGAAAAGAATGAAGAATGTGTGATATTTCCACCCAGACAAATGAATTTCTGTATAGATAAATCCTTAAGGTTTAAAATAAATGGACTGTTTGCATAATTTATATCGAACCATTAAAACAAGGCTCTAACTAGAGGCCTTCTACCTGTGGTGATAACCCATAACTAATGGGTTGAAATGGTTACACGGGATGGTGACTGATTTCACAACCTTCTCCCAAGGTTCACCCACTTGCCATGCTCCCCATGCCTGGATTGATTCACAGTATCTCTGCAGCTATGTATCTGGCTGAGGAGGTCAGTCTGGCCTCCAATTCTCCATTGCTCTTTAAGAGCACTTTTAAACTAGCTGATTGTCTCCCTCTCACCATGCACTTGGCTCAGCCAGACACTCAATTCTGAGTCTCCTACCAAGTCCTACCTGCCTTATAGAATAGAGTAGACTGGTTGAGGGAACTTTTTAACCAAGTAGAAGAGTTTTACTGATGCCTTTCAAAGTTACTTTATAGCTGTGGCAACGTCAGGATCCAAAAGAACCCTAGAATATTGGGAATATTCTAAGCACCTAGAATATCGGGAATGAATAGAAAAGATACAGGTACTGGGAGCTATAGGGTCCTTTCCCAGCTATGGAGAAGCATTTAGTACCTTAAGGATCACAATGTGAAGGGTGAAAATGGCAGCTACCCTTTTTATGAGTAAAGACCATTCATAGCTTTGCTTCAATCTGACAGCTGAACAGCTGTTATGACAAAGGAAAACACATACACACACACATTTTCATTCATTCATTCTTAGAGCCTCTTTAGGTCCTATATTTAGGATTGCTGCCTGCTGCACTCTGACTACAAGTATCTCCTAGGACATTGTCCAGGCAAGACTTCCCAGTTTTGGAGTCAGAGTACTGCACACCTCTGCAGTCGCACAAATCTGACTAAAGTAATTATAAAAAATGTGCACATTTGGGATGCAAAATCATTTTTAAGAACAGATGACTAACCAGTGGCAGCCCCTCCCATGTGCAACTTGGACACTTTGGAGGAGCTGTCACTGGTTATCAGTTTGGACTTTCTTCTTTGCCATCTCCAGAAAAAAGGGGAGAAGGGAAAAGGCTGTATCAAGTGAAAAAGAGCTCACAATCGTCATGTGGAAAAACAAACAGGTTGGTTCTGCTGCAGAGTACCCTGCAATATCTGTGGAAGGACCTGAGGAAGGCATGACAACCCACATTGAGCCCAATTGTATGATTGTGTAGCACACAGCTCAGCTTGGTTTACTGCCAAGCTGGATTAGCTTTATGTGCGAATGTATCCAGGGACTGGGTTTTTATGAGACATTACAAAAGCAACCCTGTCTTTTGACTGGTACTGAAAGATCAGTTATTTACCAATAGCCCTCTACTTGCTTTGTCTCAAAGGAAACTACAGAACCTATCTTGTAATCATGTAATCTGGACATTTTACAACAATGTGACATAAATGGCTAAAACTGGTATAAGGATTTACTGCAGACTGTTAATGCCTTTTGCTACAACCTTCAGAACCGGTGTACATGGGTGATTAAATTTAATTGCTTCACCTCCTTTCTAATTCTAATTTACCAAAGCTATTAAATTGTGAAACACACCCTGAATTTTTTTTTTTAAGAACATGCCACAGACTGAATTCTATTTATTGAGTATTTAATCCTACAGCATTGACTAACTCTAGAAAGATGTATAGTTCAGGTGAAAAGGCTAATCAAGAAATTGTCACAGATTTTTAAAAATAAAGGTTCAAGAGATCCAAACTCTCTTTACCTGAATGACTGCACCTGGAGCGGCACTTTCTGGCTCTGTTCTCGCAACCGGCACACATCCTTTGAAGCTTTCCTCATCAATTTTTCTGCACTTAAGCCCCGTTTCTTTTCCTCTGTTGATTGTTCAGCCTGGTGAGGGAACAAAATTACAGCTAACATGCAGCAATTGACAATATGATAGAGGATTGAAGGAGGATGAGAAAGAGCACCCTGCAAAAATGTCTTTAGTATACAATAAGAAAAGAGATATATTGGCACAGCATCAAAAATAACTCAGGGCTGATTTAATGTTTGGTGCATAAAAAAGACTTTATAATACTTAGCATGCCATTTAAAATATTTTAATCCACATGCAAGTGTTTGCACACTACAAATTGGTGGCCCAGGAGAAAGCTCTATTGGCATGCAAATATTGTATGCTGGTGGCTGACAGATGGATTAAAAGTTCTTTTAAATGAGATGCCAGGCCACATGAAACCCTGCATACCCAAGTGCTTTTTGCACACCTGGCATCTCATTTAATCTGTGCTTAGGATGAGTTAAGAAAGAGGTATGGTCTGGATTTTATAATCAGACAACAGTCAGCCCAGCATTTGAAAACCCTTGTGGCAATTAAGAATGTCTAATATTTCAACAGCCTAAATTATCTTTCATTTATCTACTTCCTGTGATGTTGATTAGTTTTATTAAATGCCTTCCTATTGTGCTAATAAAGCATTTTACTATCACGGTGCCCATCTTAACTTTTTTCATTAGTACATTAAAAAGCTCTTAAGTGCTTATTGACTTCTGTATTTTAAGGAAAACAGTGTTTCTGTGGCAAGACACAGTTTTGCCTTGCAAAGTAAATGTAATGCTGCTATGGAGGAGAACACATGCAAATGTTTGAGGAAGCTTCAAAGTAATACACTATCTTTAATAATAAAAAGTTATTTTACAGCATTATTTTACAGCGTAAAGTTATTTTACAGTTATTTTACATGCACATCTATTCCTGAAAAAAAGCTCTGCCGAGTTCAATGGGACTTACTCCCAGGAGAGTGCATATAGCATTGTGGTTTCATATTATATGAAATTTAATTTCTAGATCTTCAACGAAAATGTTTATGTACTCAGTTTGATATTAAGAATAAAATATCTGGAATGTTAGTATTTAAAATGGGTTTTAAATATGCAACAGAAGAGCATGTCATGTGTGTGCTTGCAAATGGACACTAACAAGGATCTTTTATGTATAAGAGATAAGAGAGTCATACAGAGGTATTCTGGGGATCTTCATATTACAACAAAGTTTTGCAAAATGACCACTGGCCTCAATGAAATTTAAGTTTATATGTAATAGATAGCATCCAACAGCATCCTTCCACAGCCCTAAATCTGCTCCAGAAGCTCTGGAGAAGATCTGGGGGGGTTGCAAGAAGGAAAACATGGATACATCCATTTAATAAGGGGAAATCCACTTAGATAACACTGGACACAGCCTACTTCTTTGTAAAGGACAATCTTTCATTAAGCAGCTTCCTGTTGTTATATGACAAGAATGGAGAATCTTGCTGAACTGCAACTCCCATCATTTCTCAGCATCAGCTATGGTGGTTAAATGGGAACAGCAGTCAACATGATCTGGAAGGCTGCACATTCCCCACCCCATTATAGGAGGCTGGAAGTCCTTGCAAAAGTCAGTGAAAACTGTGAGCACTGCAGGCTTGTTTAAAATCTATCACAAAGAATAATAATCAGTAAATTGCTCCTAAAAACTGGGACAGAAGCAAATCCTTAAAAATCAGCTACTTTCATAATAAAGATCTTTTTTAGGTAGAAGGTCTAAGAAAGGACAAAAAAAAAAAACAATCTCACACAGCTCATAGTCAATTCAGGAACTGACTATCAGAGGATGCTGTGATTGCAAAGAGTAGTGGGACCCTGGTTATGGAACAGCTTTTCCAGAGAGGTTTGCCTGGCGCCAGCTATTGAGGCTTTCAGTGCCCCTTTAAATAATTCATGTAGTTTGGGCCTCTCTATTTCAAAATCTGTCGGTTTAATATTAGGGTGCTGTGAGTTTTGCTTTGCTGTTGTATTTTATGTTCCTTTTGATTTTATGGTTTTATGTTCTATTTTGCATTTACATTATTATATTTGTTTATTGTAAACTGTTATTGGAAGGCATATACATTGTGAATACATAAATAAGTAAACAAACAAATATTAAAGAATAAGTAACTACATGCAAGATCAGTCCATCAGCAATTATAAGTCAGAAGAAAACACTTCTAGGCATAGATCTCTGAATTCCAGATACAGATATTTCAAATTACTATAAGCACAAGGAGTTTTAGGAATTTTTAATTATATAGATACTGAAGTGCTTTTCAACCTTCCTACAGCTGGGGACCAATGTAAACAGGAGAACCATCTTGGGGACCACTGGGGCAGAAACAAAAAGCACCATACACATGATACAGTATTCTGTGTATTAGTTTGGTAACACAATACCAAAAAATGAAAATTCTTCAAAACAACCAGAAACTGAGCAACAAAAAATGCCAACAAAAGAAAAAAATACTGAAATCGGCACAGCATGGCTCCCAGCTGGCTCCTACTGAGTCGTCTCTCCCCTCCCTGGCCACCCGGCGGCATTGGTGCACCCCTGTGAATGTGATGCCAACCAAGGAAGAGGTGGTGGAGCACAGCCAGTGCCCGCTGGTCTGCAGTGAGTGGAATATGGACCAGCAGGAAGACTCCCATGGAGTGGAACCAGTCCATGGATTGTTGGTTGAAAACCTCTGGGTATTGGAATATTATGCATGTCTTTTCCTTTCACTTAAAGATGTTTGGTTTGAACTTTATACCTGTTTTTCAGCTTGTTTCAAGAGCTTTTGGAATCTTTCATCCTCCAACACACATGGAGGAAGATCTCTTTCCCCTCTTGCTTTCATCTGCTCAAGCTTCTGCTTCAGATCACGAAGTGTCTGCAGTTCATCATTAAGGCGACTCTGTCGTGTCCGAGAAGCCTGAAGATCAAGCTCCAAGTCAAGAGAGGTGCGGACAGGGTGCTCTTGTGTTGCTCTTCTCATGGCAGGCTGGCAGGCTGGCTAGAATATTCAGGCATTTCAGGAAAAGATTATTACTATTACAGTTGGGCATACATGGCTCTTGGTTGTCAAGCTGAAGATCACAAACAGCCATCTCCAAGAGTTTTTTGCCCCTCTTACTGAGTGGATGTCTTCCCAAAAACCACAATGAGGTTTGCTGTTCATGTTCAGGAAGCATAGTTGCCCTTTGTGGTCCAACTACAAACTAAGGATTCTTGGAGATTCTTGTTTCACAGAAATGGGCCACCTGGAGAGAACTGGTCCAGCTTTCATGATATGACAACTCACCAGGGCTTGTCATCCACAACAGGCTGATGTGTAGGGCAAACCTAGTCACTGAATACTTACCCAAGCAAATCTGCCTTTTAAAGAGAGCTTTCGTTCTTGAAGGATCCCAAGGTCCTACGTAAAGTGTGACTAATTAGATACTGTGCAAAGTTAAGTGTCGGGTGGCTGCTCTGGGAACCTCAGTTGTGGTCAAATAGCTGCAAAGCAGGAGAGGGTGTTCTCAACTCTTATAAAATATCCTGCCACCCCAATCTCATCTAGGGTCCCAAGACAGTTATGTGCTATACTGAAGAAAAAAATCAGAAAAATTATCTGCTACTGATGACATGCCAACAACCCATTGTAAGTAACCATGGTTGGTTGTCTTGTCATTTCCCCCCACTAAACAGGCCACTCTGAAAAACTATAGGCTATTCAAGGGTTTGTTTTACCCATGCTGGTTAGTTTTATCTTCTGAACCTGAACAACCAGTTCCACCACGGGTAAAGTTAAGTAGTGAGCAAGAAACAAGTCAAAGGCAGCAAAAAACCTTGATGATTTGCCCTCATCAGTGACAGCTCCTTAAAAATACAGGTCAAGCAGAATACTAGAGGGGTTGCTACTAGTTGCCATCCCCCTTTTTAAAAAGAATGTATGTCCCAAATATGTATTTTGAAAATAACTTTTAAAGCCAAACTTGTGCAAATGTGGAGGAGTGCACTTTCACAGCTCTGAAAAAAGGAAGCATTCCTTGGGCAATGTCCTGAGGGATACTCCCTGTACACACCTATACAAGTCCATGAAAAAAAGCACCCATTGCCCTGTCAAAACTTCCTTTTAAAGGGTCCAGTTTTCAGAACATTAATCCTACTATGTGGAAACTTCAGAAATGGGTCCAAAAGACACAACAGTAAGATTTCATCACGACTTCTCATGATGTGTGAACCTGCCCAGGGAGAAAGAAGTAAGGAACTTCTGGATATGTAATTTGGTCCTTACTTTCATCTCTTGCAGAACAAGACAGGACTGGGTCATTCATATGCATTTGCTTTAGTACAATACTTGCATATATCTGTTGATGAAACTCTTCAATATATAGAAGTATTTAAAATGAAATAGAAAAGTTGTGAACAGTGAAAGAGTACATACCCTTTTAACTCTCAAGCTCCGCCGTTCTGTGGCATTTCTCACAAAGAGAGACTTTTTGGCCAACGTCGAGCTATCACTGTCACTTCTATTCAACTGTCAAAACAAGGTATGAATAAGATTAATAGATACAATGGATGGATTTGAAATGGAAGAACTTTGATATTAAAATTACCAAGAGTAATTATTACACATGCTGGTGGTAATAGCCCATCATTCATACAGAAACCACAAATCAATTGCCAATAATTTATTCAACAGATTAAATTGAATGAATGAATAACTGCATTGTGATTCTATTGCGTTAATAAACTTGGCATAGAAGCAACCAACAACTGCCTTATTGCCTTCTTGTTTCAAAACACCAGCGTCTGTTACTTGCCTAAGGGAAACCTTTGTCTGAACTGACAAAGAAAGTCCTGATTCTGTTACTGGCTCATCAAATAATTATTGATACTGATTAATGTGAAACCACATCTTCCACAAACTATAGAAGAACCAAAGAACAGGAACTAGATGTAAAAGAAAACTGTACAGCAGGTTAAGAAACTGAGTACTGAAGATTAGTAGAAAAGCTTAGTCACACAGAATATTACACTCCTTTCTTTGCGCCAATTTGGGAGCTCTACTTGATGAACTACTGCTTGAACAGAATGCTGACACAGTTCTGTATCTGCAGCCATTACAATGGAATGGCCCTATACAGACAGAACACATCCACTGGTCAGCATTATGCGTACAAACCCTAGGCTTGAGCAGCCCTCATTATCTCCGTGTGTGCCGTGACTGAATGCTTCCGTTCCTAGTTTGAAAGCATACCATAGTCTAGTGTTTAGTCTGAACCCAGCAACCTTTGTTTGACTCTGCTTTCCATTTGCAAATCTTAATTTGATGGACTTGGATAAAATAGCAGATTGTGGCTTAATGCAAACCAATACCGGAAGGTTCTAATCATTTTCCATCATGCATGGAGGGTAAAATTAATTTGTGAACACCATACTTTCTTGTGCTTGTGGCACTAAAGTTTTTTGTGCTTGTGGCACTAATCCATGATTTGCTGTTGTCCAATTTCAACCAATAATGGGGTTTACATGACCACATTTCACTATTGCATGAACCCAGGCAACTGACCCCATCGTGGACTGTAATGATTTAAAGTGTTGTGTGTGGTCCTTTAAATGTTAGCAAGTTTCAGAAGAGCAAGGAGGGTAAAAGTGGGGGATGAGTGAGTGAGTGAGGTGATTAGTTGGTGACTGAGAGTATATGGGCAGAGCTTGGAAGTGTGTGAGGAGAAAAAAAGAAAATAATATATTTGTTTGGTCAGCAGTTAACAGAGGCAGCCTTCTCTTTAGAATCCTATATAGCACTGTGAAAGACATTTAGAATTCATAAAGACAAACAGAAGGAAGTAGAATACTTAAGAGGACATGCTATTGACTAGGTAGAGTCAGAACCCAATATTGTCAAGTATTGTAAGGGTATGAGAGACAGAAGTGACAGAGACCTGAGTGTGGAAGGAAAGATTAAACTGAGATAAATAAAATAAAGACTGGTCAAAGTAGGTAGAAGTTGCTATTATATATTATTTTATTTGTGAGGGAAATAAGTTACTGAACATCTTAAAACCAATATGCTTCTTGTACAAATAATGTTTTGTTTATTGTTAACTCAGTGCCAGACTGCTTGAATATCAGTGACTTGTCTTCAGGACCACATAGTCCAATGAAGGAGCCTTATAGTTTGGGCACAATATTGTGGGAGGTTAATTAATAAGATTGGAATTAAAATTCCTGGTGACAGGGTTAGGTTAGGGTTAGGGTTAGACAGAGTTAAAGACAGCCACATCCAAACATGGAGAGTACTCATGACATGGCTACTGGGAGCCATCCAGCGAGCCATATGCAAGAGTGGAAAAAAAGTCCTTGCCAAGCTTGCCCAGGCTACCATGAGGGCCAACTACTCCACCAGTGTCTAAATGGTACTTTGTGGTGACTGGCACTGGCTGGGTGCCCCCTGCTGTGGTCATGACTCATTTTTGGTTCATAGTGGCTTTTAGATCCTTTATCCTTGGAGTCTGTGAAGTCTGCCTGGATAGCCAGAAACTTCACAATCTTCATTTTGAAAGCCACTGACAGCTCCTTGAAACAGCGTGAGTGGGACCTTAGAGAGGCCATGGTGGGCAAACTTTTTTGTTCTTGTGAACACAATGCGTGCTTTAAAAATAAAAAAGAAAATTAACTGCACTGGCATGATTGTTGAAATCAGGCCTCCTAGTTGGAGGCAGGGAACCTGCTGTCAGAGTACAGCAGGTTGTACTCTTATACATTGACCTAAAGAAGGTGCAAATAGGCTTTTTCTTCCATATGCTTTTTTTTAGTTGTCAAAATACAAGCTATCACAGTATAACAACAATTGTCAATGCAACAGTATCTGGTCCAAGTTTCTGAAGTTCTTTCAAGTCATAATTCTCTCTACTTCTATTAAATAATTGCTACTTGCCTCAGTCCTTTTAATTTTCAAACAATCTCCCATTTTCTGCTATATTTGTGAATGGGTTATGGGTTGCCAGAGAGGGTGTTGTGCTGACAGGGTTTTTATTTTTATAAAACAAAAATGCAAAATAAAGAACTTTAAATTTAAAAAGAAAACTTCATAAGAGTTCTGTATTTCTGAGTTCTTTTGGAAGAGAGATTAAACATTATTTACAAGAATTATTCCACAGAATTTTCAATAATTAACGAGCTCCGAGTCTTAAAATATGCTGATGTAGCTAGCATTTGAAAAATAGCTGTGTGTTCTAGGTTTCCCTTTCCCCAAAGAGACATTAGTTTTCCTACACAGGAAGTGAGCAGTTAAGAGATCATTGATGGTAATGGGCATATGTTAGTGCTTAAATGTCACTTATGCATTTGAATAGGTACAAATGGAAACAAACTCAGTTTCCTAGTGCACTATTGCAAAAAAAAGATAATAAATATTAAATAGACTATTAAAACAATTTGCAATTATCTAGTAGCAATATGATATGATTAGCAGCAGCCCACATGTATTTTTAAAGAATTAATCACGCCAAATCATCCTTGTTTTCCAGCTTAGTACAATAATTCATTGCACAGAGATAGCTTTTTGACCTAGCTTCAAATGGCATCCTCCTCAGAGAGCTCTAAAATACGTATTAGCTTAGAAAGAGAAATGTACTAAGGAAAGCATACAACTTGGTGACTTAAATATGGTAGCCAGTGGGATTGTACAGTCGGGAGATATCCACAGCTTATTGCATGTTTGTTATCAGATCACAAGTGCACAGACACACAGAGAGTCCCCTTTTGTGACCAGAAGAGGCAAACTTCTCCAGATCCACCTCCATCATGTGGCTAACCAATTGTATCGGGCCTATGCCTGGGTCTCTGCCTCTGAAAGTATAGGCCTGCTTAGCACGAGTGAAGTGCTGCACTCTAGTTACCTGGCTTAGCTTAATTAATTTTAGTTATTGTTTTCTGGCCCTGAGAAGGATGGCCAAGGGACAGGCTTGCAGCTGTCTTGTTTTGAGAAAGACCTTATTGAACCTATTAATGGAATTATGCTTGATGATAGGCTTAGCTTAATTAGCTTACAATACTATGTCCTATCATTGTGGCACCTGGGTGGGAATATTTGGACTGGCTGGGATGGAAAACTTCCACTGTTATGGCTTGAAACATGCTAATGAGGATGGGAAACTTCATGTGCTATGTAGTTCAGTGATGGGAAGTTGTCTATGGTATACATTTCAGCTTTCTAATAAGTCATTTCAAACCACTTAGTCACTGCATGTGTGTAACAACCAGCCCCTTTCCCATAAGTAGTCTATATAAGCTAGCCAGTTTCCTTTGAGTGTTGTTCAGAAACCACCATCCTTGAGGGGGCTTTGCTGACTATCCATTCCAGCTGACTGGAGCCTGCCTTGCATACTAGTCCACAATGAGTATTACAAGTGACTCGCTGCTAAATCCTTTGAAAAGCTAGCTAGTGATTTGCTTGCTGCAACAATCAAGGCTCCGTGTAAGTAAGCCTGGACCTAGCATATTGATTCCTTGAGATAACTCAGACTTTTAGCCCATGGCTGGGGAAACACATCCATGTTGAGTCTGCTGAAGAGCTGCTGCAACCTTTCTTTGTCATAACAAACCTTTGACACAAAAAACACATAAGGAAAAAAATGTGTGGCAAGGAAATATGGCACCAATGGAGTTTTTCCTTCTTTCCTTGGAGAAGGGAGAAATTTGGGGGGTGGGGAAGAAGCTGAGTAGGCCCACCCTATGGCGATTCCAATATGGGTTGGGCCCACACATGATTATACTAGCATGTTAAAAAATAGCAGGCTGTGCAAGACACTATGCAGTTGATGTATCATCTTGTTTAGCATGAGTAAAATGGGAATCAAAACTGCCTGGCAAGTCACAGCACATATCAAGCCCCCCACGCATGCCCATCTGAACACCAAGCACAAAATTAATAAGGGTTAAAAATACACGCGTACACCATATGTCAACAATGTAATGCTGTGTGATGCTACTTTGAATTAATTTAAACAAAGCAACTTATCCAAGACAGATACTGGGACAGAACTCAAGCACAGCATTTTCATTCCACACAAAGCAATTTGAGAAGGATGTTAATAATTAGGAAAGTTTTAGAGAACAGCTATGAGGATGGTAACATCTGAGAGATGATGGAACCAGGTTTTGTTTATTGTAAAAGATAGCATCTGTATTTCAGATGTCTAAAAGATGACTGAAATGAGATAGAAACTAATTGCTCAACCCTTTCCTATAGGATGGGAAGACAAGAAACAATGTTCAAAATACTGCAAGGCAGGCTGATCAATTATTCATATATTCAGTCTCTGACAGTTTGTAACTCTCTCATGAGAGCAGACTGCCTCAGGTTTCAGATGAGCACAGGTAGAGTCCCAGTGTGCAAATGTCTAAGTTTCTTGTAAATGTTTCCATTGTACTAAAGTTGTTCTATGGAAACCGCTTTGCCAAAGCGCTTTCCAAAAGGTGCTTCTGAAGAAGTGTCCTCAGAGCCTACGTATCCACATGGACTGTATTAATTTTAAAATTAATAGTGCTGGCAATATTATAGATGCAGCACATTGCATCTTTTAAAACAACTGTCCTAGAATGATTTCAACACTGAAAGGACTAGATTATTTTAGGGAATTACAATGCAATTCTCTACATGCCTACTCAGAAGTAATGTCTATGAATTCACTGCAATTATGCACACAATGTATAATACACTGTGTGTATAATTACAGCATTTTTTTAAAATACCAGTGCTGGTTATGTAGCAAAATCTGTGTGGGATCATATATATGGTATGGATGGGTCTTTGTGTGGGTATATATGTGTGTGAAGGTGAGAAGGGGAGGGCAGAGGTGGGGGAGAGGATGAGAAAGTATTTGAGCATTAGAATATGCTGTCTGTCTGTTTTGTGAAGGTTTTGAGAGTTTCAAGATGTATTCCACAGGTGAAAGACAATTTCCCATAGCTTAGCAGCTAACAGATGGATGCCAGGTTCTCAGGATATGGCTCATTGCCAGCAATGTGCCATTGCCAAAGAAGTTAAATGAGTCTTTAGTTAATAGGATCTCATGGAGAACACTCTTTTTCTTACCCTACAGATGTACTGGTTCCGCTCTCCTGGAGAGAAGGTTTGTGAGCGCACTATCATGCTGTTTCTGACAAAGGGATTCTGTTGAGACTTCAGGCTGGGTCTTTCCTTGGGTCTTACAGCTACGTTCTCAGTCTTCCTATTTTCCGTGTTAGTTTCCTTATCAACCTGTTGAATGTATTATACATTATTTTTCATCTTTAACCTCTTCATCAAGCATGGTTCATCTTACATAACTAATTAGTTATGATCCACAAAGGCAAGAATCCAAATACAAAAGTCTCTTAGCCTAGTAAAAATAGAGAGGTATTTTTGTTCTCAATAGGAGATACCACTCTTTTAACTTGGGACATTGGTGCATCTTAGTAGACAAATCATCACATAGTTGCCATGCTGAAGAGTATAAGGATCTTAATTAATAGCAGCCTCCCAAATTAGATTTAACATTAAATGCTTGAAATCCAAGCTGAAACAAGCTACAAATAGGTTAACCCCAAGCTAAGAGTTTCTAGTTTTCAAGGATACTGAAATGTGGAGTTCATTTTAAGGAAATATAATCTGCCTGTATATTAAAAAGTTAGTTAAACCTATTACTAAATGAAGATTACCGTAGGCCTTCCAGGGATGCCACTGTCTTACCTAAAGGTGATGAAACCACTATTAGAGAAAATACATATTTGTAATTATTAAACTGGACACAGGAAGTTGCCTTGTCCAATTGGTCTATATCCTTGGTCTATCTAGCTCAGTATTAATTACACTAAATTGCAGTGGCTCTCCAGGGATTCAGATAAGAGTCTTTTCTGCCCCTACTTAGATATGCCAGAGAATGAACTTAAGACTTTCTGAATACAAAGCATGCCCTCCACCACTAAACTACAGCCCTTCCTTAATAAATAAACACCCTTAACTAAGAAAAATTGATGAAGATAATGAGAACAGGCTGCTATTGTGAATTATGCTTCTAAAATTCTGTACTATTATGCTATGAGTGTTTTCTCATTGTTCCTATTCATGTTCCTATTGATTTTCTAGAAACGTAAAAAAATAAAAACTCCACCCTGAAAGTGAAAAGGCTCGATAGGCTCTTGGAAGCAAACTGATTCCAAGATGTGCTCAAGAGCCTACTCTGTTTTTGTTGTTTTCATATAAATGCTGATGTCAAGAAGAAAACAACCTCAATACACATAAACATGTCTGTAAAGGATATTTGGTAACAATGAACAGATGCAAAATTTACAGACTATTATGTCCATTCCTAACACTCTCTCTCAATCTCTCTCCTTTCATTGCTCTGAAGCTCTCAACTCTTATCATTAAAACTTCATAACAAATGCAGACAAAAATATTAAGCCATCCGTGTGTGCAAGTATAGCGTAAACATTAAATAATCTATTAAATATTTAATACATTCATTATTAAACATGAATAATCTACCAAATAAACATTAAATGTTAACTAGCAAGCTGAATGCTTCTCTTGTGAATTTAAGGATCTCTTTTCTGCTTCTCTCCTTTATGCATATCAAAACAAAAAGTATCACTGTGCCAGGAAGTAAAGAACCTGTTAGAAATCAATACAGAGTTTAAATGCTGGGTTGATTTATATATTTAAAATAATGCTGAAAGTGTAAAGAGATTCCTCTTGACAAACTTCCATGTTTTTAAACTTTAACACACCACCCTGAGGGGCTAGGAACAGCCACAGAATGCCAGAGCCTACTGAAATATAAGCTGAAATATTCACCAGCGTGGGCAATGGTGGTATTTGCTCATTGTGACACAGATCAGTACAGTTGCGGTCTTCCCCATCCTTAATTTTATCTGCCTCTACCAATGCAGAGCAGAACTGATTGACTTCTCCTTTGCCACCTTCCTTTGCTCCGTCAGCATCATCCTCTTCTTCTGTCAAGATCACATCAGATGCTTCTGCCTCTGCCAGTATTCCTAGCCTGTGAGAACAAAGTAATCCAAGTTTACTCTTGCACTGACAAGGCAAATCTTGTACAAAAGCGGTATTATTATCAAGACATTATCTTGGCCAGACATAGATTAGATTTTCACTAAAATGTCTGCATGATCTGACATGTGAATGCATTGTTTTAGTCATCTGCTCTAAGAAAAACAGAAAGCTCTGTTACAAATAGACTCCCCTACAACACCTTAAAAGCACAGTACATTTGACATCTAAGATGACTCAACTGAAGAAATATGAAATGTATGTCTTTTGTTCCAGATTATTGTTATTATGATTACTATAAACATATATTTATTATAATATTGCAAACATGCAAACAACTCACTCAAATATATCATTTCATACTAATGAAAAAAGAAAGTGCAGATTGTGCCTTTCGGATTATTAACCTATATTAGCAAATAAAAGCTAATTAAGTTTGTATTCTCAATCCATAAATATTATATGCACCCCACAACAACACGGTGAATTTGAAAAAACATAAGACACATAAGACATGGAGATGGCTATCTCAGCCATCCCCAATCTGGTGTCCTCCAGATGTGTTAGATTACAGCTTCTATCATGCCCAGCCAACACTGCCATGAGCCATGATGGTCTGCGGATGAAAGATGCTACAGTCCAACACATCTGAGGTAGGAGAAAGTTGTGGCATCAAGATGCTTTATTTTACACAGGATCTTAACACAAGGCACTTAATCTTTTGTTACAGATGTGACTTAATATGGATTAATTGTCCAGATGCACTATTTACTGTAAATGATGGAAGGCTGGATCCAAAGTGGATGCTCAAACACTATTGAGGAACATGTGCTCAGGAACAACTAACTGGGAAAGCTTACTGCATTTATTTCCTGCTTATGAAATTCCCAGAGGCATCTGGTTTGCCATTGTACAAAACAGGATGTACAACCAGATGGATCTCTGGTCTAATCCAGCAAGGCTCTTAGATTCTTATGCCTCAGAGGGGGATAAGAATCATTCCATCTATTACATTTCTCTACTGTACAATAGTCAAAGCTTCTGAATGGTTTATAAAGATTAAAACTCTTTAAAATACAGAATTATGAACATATAACCAGATAGCAGATACCCACACACAAACAATATCTCATGACCTGATGAAAAACCTATGCTCTCAAATGCTTAGAAGTGGAGTTCTTAATCTTAACTTTAACCCTAACCCTAACCCATGTCCCAAAATGATTGGCATCAGTCAGGCCTTGCTGGGAGGTTCATTACATAATTGGAGGATACCACTAAGAAGGTCCTCTTCCTTGCTGGCACCTTCTGAGCCTATCTCAGTCATTTTTCTCCTCACAATTAGAACTGGAGGGGAAAAAGGGGTAAAGGACTTTTTCTCTGCAGTAGGGAAAACACCAAGTAAACTAAGTCTAATTTTCTTAAAAGTCTTCAAAGGCATAAGAAGATTGGAGACGGAGCAGATGAGGGAGCAAAGCTCCTTTCAGTGGCCTGCTTTGTTTTATGTTTTATAGTTTTAAGAGCTGTTTTAAATGAATAAAATGCACATTCAGCTTACCAATCTTCTTCAGGATTCTGTGGCTCCTGTACATCCTTCTCTTCCTCTTCCTCTTCCTCTGCCAGCTCTTGCTCTACTGCTTGAAGCTCTGCTGATGTCCTTTCCAGCAAGGCTGACACAGCATCCTAAACCAAGACATTAGAAACATTTCTACATAGTATAATGTGCTGACAGTTTTGATATTTTTTTATAAAATCTGCTGCCAAAATATTTGTGGATATAGACAAAGACCGGCCATGAAAACATACTGTCTGTTGCTTCTTATTATCATTATTATTATTTCTATATCACCTGTTGCCAAAGCTCTCTTGGTGGTTTACAACAAAGTATAAAAACAAAATACAATAAATAAAACATTAACAAAAATTAAAAATTAATTTAAAATAATACAAAATATATTAAAAAACCAACAAAAAGACCCAGCCAAGGATAAAAGAAAGGCACCTGGATAATTCTATCAGGTCCCTGAATAACCAGGGAGGTCTTTAAAGGCCTCTACAAAGATGGCTGTCTTAACCTGGCACCAAAAAGGTGATAAATTTGGTGCAAGGCAGGGAGGTTGTTCTAAAGATAGGGGACACCATAGAAAAAGCCCCTCCCCCAGGTGGTACCCTTTGAGCCTCTTGAGAGGTAGGTAGAAGGTCCCAGATATTTAGCCTTCCACATCTGAGTCCAGGTAGATGGTTTGGGAGAGGTGCTCCAACAGGTATTTAGGTTCCAAGCCATGTAGGGTTTTATAGGTTAAGACCAGCACTTTGAATTGGGACTGGAAATATACAGTCAGTCAATACAGGCACATAAGAACTAGTCCTATATGTTTAGACCTCCCGGTCCCAGTTATTAATCTGGCTGCTGCATTCTGTACCAGCTGCACCTTCTGAACTGTCTTCAAGGGCAGCACCACGTAGAGTGCATTGCCAGGTTACAGGTTATTTCTATACCTTCATCTAACTTTCAGACTAAATTTAGTGAGCATGAAAATGTCTGTAAGAATACATTTATATAAGCAGAGCAACATCATGAAACACACAATCTTTCACATTAACAAATTACCTTAAATTGCCTTTATTTAAAAGTCATACTCCACCTAAAAATATACTGGTCTATTTCAGAAAGTACACTAGACTGGGCTAGACTAACTGGAAAAAAACAACCACACACACTGACAAAACAACAGGTCAGTAAAAAAATATCTAATTCATGTTTTTTGGCAAAAGAAATAATTTATACAAGTATCTACCACTCATAAAAAGTTACCAGGCCAGATTAAACAATAACTGTACTCAGCTCATCTTGCCAACCAATGGAGAGGAACAAATACATCCACTGTACACATGTCTCACTTTCAATGCATTCAGATTTTCACATATGAACATAATTTTCTTAAAAGTACCTATACAAAGAATCCAAATTGATTTCCCTGCCCGTGAACAGCCAGCACCTTAACCAGCCAGAAAAGTTATAACCTAGCCTTCTCCGTTATGAACTAGTTATTTATGCTATTTATGCACGGAGCATTTTTAAAGTAGTTGCCCTCTTTTTAATGATAGTTTTCCTGCTGCATTTTATAATTATCTTTCTCCACGTTTTGGCTATTAAGTTATTATCTATTAAATTCTGATTTATGTTGTTTTGTAAACAATTCTTTTAAGGCACCATTTTACTGATAGACAAAAAAGAGTCCTCACGCTCCAAGCATTACTCAATCAGCTTGGAAGTTTTGTATGACTTTTTCTGTCTAAGTATGCACAGGATCACACACTTAATATATTTTATAACTGGCTTTATCACTGGTTTTATTGTATTTGCTTTTGTTATGTATGTCGTCTCAAGAGTTTTGGCTAAAGGGAAATTCATAAATTGAATAAGAAACAGTAAATAACATGCAGTATGTGTGTGTTTTTTTCCCTGAAGGGCTGATTAATTTTTAGTAGCCACCTCCATTCAGGCAATATGGCAATCAGCTAGTAACAGCACAGAAGGGAGCAAGCTACTAGATATTACAACTGCTTTCTTTTAATACTAGTAGTAACCTCTTCAAAAGTAAGCATATATTGCTCACCAAGTCCAGAGAGCCAGAAGGTTGATTGTTTGGTACAAATATAGGATCCTCTTTTTGTTCTTTATTCTTTCTGCCAGGAATCTGCTTGCAAGCCAACAAGTTATACCACACAGTAGATGTCTCATTTGAAAACATCATGTCTGCCAAGCTTATCTGAGTTCCAGCCTACACAGAAATGTGAAAAGATAATTTATATGGTCATTTTAATATGCATTTCATATAAAGAATCTAAATATTTCAGAGAGGCTTTGTCCCGCAAAACTGGTTTCACATTGGCTCTTCAGTGCTTCTTCCTCACACTAAGAATAAAACATTACCTACTCATATATAGCTGTGGGGTTAAGGTACAGCAGTTATACTCAACCAGAAAACAAACTGAAGAAAAATAAATTCTAAAGCCAACTTCACATCCTAAGTCAATGGGGAGGATCTCATGCCATGCTAGCCCACCCTGGCAATAAGCCACAGTGGGTTGGATGTTGTACAAAGAACCAGCACTATGCCCCATAGAATATCCAGCTGACTTGGGATTGTTTGTTCCTCCTTCCTCTCACAGGTATCCCAGAAGACTCTGCATCAGGACTAGCTTGGGTGCTCTCTGCTATACTCAATAAGCCCTTTTTTGATTGCTCATCTGTTCCTCCCATCACCTGGTTTTATGTTTGTTTTTGGAAATTGCAATCTCTCCAACTTGAGAGCAAATTTTTGCAATCTTCACTTTCACAGCTCGTGACAGCCCCTTAAAAGTGTTGAACCAGCATATTGGAGAAGTCGTGGGTGGTTGGCAACTTTTTATTGTTTTTGCATTCACAGTAAGCACAAATATTTTTGCAATTTTATTTTTTAAAACATGGACTTACGCAAGTGAGCACAAAGGTTGCACATATCCCACTCAAAAAGTGCCCACTGCTCTTCTGTGAGCTGAATTAGCACAGCTATTCATGCATGTTTGAGCAACTAACTTCTTAGCAAGTGCACATGGACGCAGTGAGACCATAATGATTTGGGGCAGGGGTTAAGTGTCCCCTCCTCCTGTTTTATTGATACAGTCTTGCTCCCAAATGGAATAATTTAAAAAAAGAAAAAAACAGACTTCTTTTTTTAACCATTCCCAAAGGGGGGGCGTGGGAGCGAGGGGGGAGGGAGCGAGGAGGGGAATATCAGCATGAAAACAGGGATCGGGAAAGCTTAAATGCCCCCAGTGAATCACCATGGTCCAGAACTGGGTGCACATGTGCTTACCCAGAGGTGAGTCAATCATGTAAGCAGACACAGCTGTTCTAGGAAGAAGAATGGGCTGTAAAGAGCAGCCAAGGAAGTGTTTAAGAAAAAATAAATACCTAAAACCTTCAGGTTGTTGTTAGTCGCGAAGTCATGTCAGACCCATCGCGACCCCATGGACAACATTCCTCCAGGCCTTCCTGTCCTCCACCATCCCCCAGAGTCCACTAAAGCTCACACCAACTGCCTCAGTGACTCCATCTAGCCACCTCATCCTCTGCCGTCCCCTTCTTCTTTTGCCATCTATTGTGCCCAGCGTTAGGCTCTTCTCCAGGGAGTCCTTCCTTCTCATTAGGTGGCCAAAGTATTTGAGTTTCATCTTCAGGATCTGGCCTTCTAAAGAGCAGTCAGGGTTGATCTCCTCTAGGGCAGACCAGTTTGATCGCCTTGTGGTCCAAGGGACTCGCAGGAGTCTCCTCCAGCACCACAATTCAAAGGCCTCAATTCTTCGGCACTCAGCCTTCCTTATGGTCCAACTTTCACAGCCATACATTGCAACTGGGAAAACCATAGCCTTGACTATATGCACTTTTGTTGGCAGGGTGATGTCTCTGCTTTTTAGTATGCTGTCTAGATTTGCCATAGCTTTCCTCCCCAGGAGCAAGTGTCTTTTAATTTCTTGGCTGCAGTCCCCATCTGCAGTGATCTTGGAGCCCAGGAAAATAAAATCTGTCACTACCTCCTTTTCTTCCCCATCTATTTGCCAGGAAGTGAGAGGGCCGGATGCCATCATCTTAGTTTTCTTACTGTTGAGTTTCAAGCCAACTTTTATGCTCTCCTCCTTCACCCGCATCAAGAGGCAAAAAACCTTCAGGTACCTCATCTTAAATGTAAGGTAACATCCCCCCCCCACCCCACACACACATGGTTTGGCATATACCTTCATAGTGAAGGTCAGAGGAGAAACCCAGCACAGCAGGAGCACAGAGCAGGTATGCCTCAAAGACCCTCTGGGATATGTACAAGAAGCCAACAGGAAAAGTGAGTTGCAAACATAACAGGTAAACTTCAGAGAGGCTGAACATCTGTTGGTACCATCATGTGCTGGCTATCAAATAAACAACCAATGGGCACGTGTTCTCAGGGTGGCTTATTATGATGCGTGAACCAGCCCAAAAAGTGAGGGTAAGGTCAGATCTATTATCTAGAGCAGGTAGCACAGAAATGGAGAAGTAATGCTAGTTCAGGATAGAGCATGAGAGATCTAAAGTACAATAGTCTTATAGGAGAAAAAAGGGTAAAGGAATTCAAAGCACAAATTGGCACAGCAGAAGGCTTAAAAGGCAGAAGTGGCAAAAGGAAACAAAGGGGATTGCGATAAGCCAATATTTACAACTTAAGTATTCTGATTTAACTGACTGAAAATAGTCTTTTGTTATTGTTTATGAGAACAACCTGATTTAAGAAGTGCATTTTTTAAAAATAAGTAGATAATCTGGACACATTAAGGATCAGAGAGACAATGAATGCCTGCAAGGATAAAAAAGTCATTTATATTCTGTAAATCTAATCAAGTGTAATAGATCCATGCAAGAGAGAACTACTGGCTGATGCCTGGGGCAAAATACAGTTGGCCTCAGTCCATCTTCTTCATGAGAAAGAAAGTGGTTTTATATGCAAGGAAAGAAAATTCAAGCTCATATCTGGAGGCTTTCAGAGCCCTATTGTGCAACCTGCCTCAGGCACCATCACTTTACACTGTGGCAATGTCCATGGTTATTAATCAATATGCTTCCTTTACACTATCAACTACTAGACAGCTACAGAGGCAACAGTAGCTTGCAAAATATAAAGAAAAATAGAGCAGTCAGCCTCTTCCCCTGAAATAATTACACAGTGCATCTTTGCCAATGAGTTAGGGGAGGAGTCACACAACTCAATAGCAGGACACATGCTTTGCATGCAAGAGGCCTCAGGTTCAGTCCCCTGGCACGGCCAATCCCCAGAATTGGCTGGAAAAGTCTTCAGCTTGACAGCTAAGAGAAAGGGCTCATTCAGAGTAGGCAACCCTGGACTCCATCTTGGAGCAACTTGGTATAAGGCAGCTTCATATATTCATCACAGTGCTGAATGGAAGGATGTTATTAGCTTTGTATCCCTCTGGGTTGCATATCAATTCAATGTTGCTATCTGACAATATTCACCACAACAAATGTCAACATGAAAGGCAACCTAGGAAACTGCATCATTGCAAAACTGTATGTAAGAGCATTTCTCATGTAAGCCTTATTGCAGGAGCCATAGCAAGGTAATTTGTTTCTGTGGTAAAGTGAAAAAGTGCCTCTAAAGACACCTGAAAGACTTGGTGGGAGGGAAAATAATTTTGCTATCTCTAAACCAGTACAAAAACATGGTCTGCTAGGCAAACATCTGTTTTTCGCAATCAAAATATTTTCGGCAACTGTTTCCAATTTAAATGCTTAATTGGTACACTTATATTATTAGATCATTTGACAAGAAGTCAAAAAACCAAATACTTCCACCAAATGCTACAAACCTATCTACAGGATGAATTTATATAATTTATTATATAGCCAAAGAGGTGGTTACATAATACTTTAGGGGAAAGCAAAGTGAGCACTTTGCCTGACTTGCATATAGTAAGACCTATACCAGAAGCCTGGAAGTTCTAGTGTTCATTAAATGTTCATTATCATGACTGTCCAGAGACAGAGAGGAATTTGATTAATAAATGCAAATAAAGCAGAAGCAAAAATGTACTTTTTTGTTGTTAGCTTCTCAGTATGCAAAAAACTGAGTTTAGTTTTTGAACCAAAGTTTCCCACACTTAAAGAGTACACTGTACTGTCACACAGCATGTGAAACATATATTGTGACTTACCACTAACCACATCCATTAAAAGTGTATGCAAATTACACTTATTACAAGCATCTAAAATATGCATAATAACTGCAGCCCTCAGGCTCATGATGCATTTCCAATGAAGCCCTCAGTGCTGAACAATTTGTCTGTGACTGTAATACTGTGATCAAAAGACAGTCTAACTTCTGCAATCATCAAATATGAGAGACAAATATATTTAGTCCTGTGGAGGTTGCTAATGCACAGCGCAGAAACCTCCTATCCATCAGTATGAGAAAGAGAAAAAACTAAAGAACATCAAACAAAGCCAATAATAAAGTATACTTACTAGGCATTCTTCCCGATGAGTTTTACTGACAGAGCAAACATCCACTCTCAAAGTCTTCTGATGCAAAGATGACTGGGAAATAGCTACTCTGAACATTTCACTAAATAAAAGGTTTTCAGCAACAGAATGGACTTTTGTGCGAAATAGACAGCTGATATCAGCTGAAGATGGGAGAACTGCAATTCTAAAATACCTAGAGAAGATTTTTTTTAAAATTAGTTAAATGTGCATCATGAAATACTTGCATATGTTATATTATGTGTTATGCAATGATATATATATACTTAAAATAAATGCCTTTTCCTAAAAAATTCTCCTGTTCAGCTACAAAGACTTTAATACTAATGGAATAACTGCTGCCTATAGTAAACACACCAAACCTGTCTACTGAGGAAACTAGTTTTAAAAAACACAAAGATAAGTAAGGCAGCAAAATGGAAATGTTCAAATACAGTGGAGTAAGCCCCAGCAAAAAACTGTAACTAATAAATGTAACTTCCAATTACCATCTGCTTTGTTCAGCTCCACACTTTAAATATTTCTGTTACTCGGGAATGTATGAATGAATGCCCTCCAAAGCATCCCATCCTTGACAGCCCTGCTCAGCTCCTGTAAACTCAAGTCTGTGGCTCCTTTATGGAGTCAAGCCATCTCATATTTGGCCTTCCCCTTCTCCTTCCTTCAACTTTCCCAATGTCATTGTCTTCTCCAGGGAGTCTATCCTTCTCATGATATGCCCAAGTGTGACAGCTTCCGTTTTGTCATTTTTGCTTCCAAATAATGCTCTGACTTGATTTGATCTAGGACCCACTTGCTCATCTTTCTGTCAGTCTGTTGGAAAAGCTCTCCTCCAGCATAATGTTTCAAAAGCATCAATTTTCTTCTTGACAGCTTTCTTCACTGTCCAGCTTTCAGACCCATACAAAATGATTGGGAATACTATAGTATGGATGATCTTGACCAGTGGAATGTCCTTATACTTTATGATCTTTTCTAGTTCCTTTATTGCTGTCCATTCAAGTCCTCAATCTTCTGATTTCTTGGCTGCAAGTCTCCATATGAACTGAAGACTAAGCCAAGGTGTGTAAATCTTTCACAATTTCAATTTCTTCAATTTTGGTATCAAAGTTCTGTAATTCTTAATGTTCAGCCTGCAGTCTGGCTTTTCTACTTTCTTCTTTCACATTCATCAGGAGTCATTTCAAAGTTGCTGCTGCCAGCTGTCAGTAACATGGTATCATCTGCATATCTTAAATTATTGATGTTTCTTCTACCAGTTTTCACTCCTGCTCCAATTGTAATCCAGCTTTCCTTATGATATGTTCTGCATACAGATGGAACAGATAGGGAGATAAAATACATCTTTGTCTGATATCTTTCCTTATAGGAAACCATTCTGTGTCTTCATATTCTGCCCTAACAGTAGCTTCTTGTCCATGATACAGACTACCTGTCCAGGAAATCAAATGATAAGGAACGCCCATTTATTTCAGGATCTTCAATAGCTTTATCAACCAGTCAGTAGACTGTTCTTTTTTATTTTTTTGTGTGCTTCAGTAACCAACATATATTTACAAAATGATCTCAAGTGCCTGCTCCTTTGCAGAATCCAGCTGAACATCAGGCATTTCTCACTCCATATTGTTCAAGTTCTTTCCTTGAGCATCAGTTTGTTTGCATGGGAAATTAGAGCAATGGTCTTATAGTTGCTGCACTCCTTAGTATCTCCTTTCTTGGGGATTGGAATGTACACTAAATGTTTCCAATCTGTGGACCATTGTTTTGTTTTCCATATAAATGAAAAATACTGATATTATCATGATGATGCCATTATTTCATAGAAAGCTGAGTTTGCTATAGAAATACCAGGGAACACATTAGGATGCTTAATATTACCCTAATGTATGTTACAGAAAGTTGGAATGCATTTTGAAAAAGTAAAAATATAAAAATAAAACTGAGTTCTAAGAATAAATAATATGCAATAACCTAGTTTGCATGATGCAACATCACACTGGCAGCTTAACTCTCAAATAACCCACGGGCTATTTGAGGATAGTATAACCCTCAAACAACTCCTGCCAACCAGGTTCTCAGGTGCCTGTGGGTGCCATGCAAAAATGGTACTCACAGGCATTCAACACTGTGACAAGTCCTGTGGATAAATTAAATTACAGTAGGTTGTCATGTAATATGAACCAGGTCACTATAATTCAACTTTGAGCAGGGGAAAGAAAATTTATTCTTCAACTCTCTCTCAATCTCTGTCTCACCCCTCCCCCCATGCCTTTCTTCAAAATAGAAGTTGAGAGTAAAATCCTGGAAAAAATTTAGTGCAGGTAAGGCCTTGTTCTCACATGCAAATTGCAATTTTTCTCCCCACATGATGCCTTTTAATCTTATCTAGGGCAGGATTATGTGGAGAAATATAAATGTAAAATTAAATGTAAATGTAAACCCAGCACAATTCTCAGTCACAGCAGACCTTTTTCCCAGGTGCCATTATAATAGATCTCATTATAGAGCTCATAGTAGTTAGAATCATGTGGGTCAAGGACATGTTTCACAGGTCACTCTCACTTTATAACCCTCATATGATACAAAGTCTGTCCTATACCCCTGACATGATCCTAGAGTTCAGAACAAGCATTTTTAATTATTGTTGCCTTCTAGCATGCTCCTTGTTCCTTATGTTATAGGAAACTGACTTTTCCACATGCCTCCCTAGCTTTTATCAACATTTCAACCAGGTTTTGTGTATCTCCTTTCAAATCACTGTCACACTTTTCCAGTTCTACTGCACAGAAAATAGTGCTAATCTTCCCAAGTACCTTCCTTTCTAGAAGTGTTATGATGACACAGATATGCCACATCCACCTCCTAAACAAATGTTTGTAAGACTGCTTCTTCCCACATTACAGTGAAACAACATGGGAGTACTGCTTGCATATCATTATGTGAAAACAAAGTAAGAAGCAGGTAAAACAAAACAAAATGCATGCTGAAGATTAAAGATGGCTCACCTTCCCTCTGTGAGCCTGTGCTATATATTCTACCATGGAATGAATCCCATACCATAATGTGATGTAGAAAGCAGAATATAAATATTTCCACAAATTAAAACACATTGAAAGAAGTGCTCCCTGTAAAAAGGCATTTCATGTGCTTGTAAAAAAAATTGCTCTCCTGATTAAATAAGCAAGTGAAACTGCATTGACTTTGAAATGGAAATCTATCACACATGTAGTAAATGTTTAAAATTACCCAGATAGTCTATGAAACTCAGAGACATTCAAAAGTCTGCTCAGTTTAAAATCAAACAAAAGAAAAAAATGCTGTCACTGTACCAAAGGTGGGCCATGTGGTCTGCACCTGGTACAGATAATAGAATCACAGAATCATAAAACAACAGAGGAAGGGGCCTATAAAACCATTGAGTTCAACTCCTTAGACAACTTCAGGTATATCTTGTATTCATTTCAAGTAAGGTCAACTTCTGTATAAAGGAATTTAAGACCCCACAAAACCGGTATGATTTTTTGCTGTTGTTCTGTTCAGCTTGGCTGGATTCATTCATACCTCCCTGACTGCCTTTTGAACAATTACTGTTTATAGGCATGGAGATCTGTTTGCAACCCTACAACTTAAAGACCATTTACTGTACTGGAAAGAGAAGAAAACTCTGTTATTTCATTTTCAGTGTGAGGGCTGTTAACTGCTTCTGTGCCAAAGGGAAGAAACAAACCCCTTTCAAAGCAAAATTATCTAGAAAATAAGAAAGGGTTTGCATAACAGGACTTTTATGTATAACAGCAGAGTGTAGTCTTGCATCTGTTGGGTTTTTCCCATTCTTAAAAACTACATGAGTATTCATGTGGTCCAGAGATAAGCAATTGCCCTTTACAGAATAAAAAACAAAATCAAAGACAGACTTTATAAAAGAAGTACAAAGACTCTGTGCATATGAAGAGGGGGAGGGGGGGAAGGAAATTTAACTTGGCAAATGTCTTTTTTTCTCATTGACAGGAGGGCATTCAGCAGGAAGACTTTCCCAGCAATGAATGCCTCCCTGTCTGAGGAAAGAGAATGGTATCTCATGCTCCTACTATCCTGCAGGTGTTCAGTACAATAGCTCACAAGAGCACTGGTAATCCTAGAGGAAGATGGGCAAAGTAAGCATTGTGTTTTAGAAGTAATGAACATATGCAGCAGTTTGAGAGCTAGGAGATGGCAACTTTCCAGTGACAGAAGTTCAGTCTGAATAATATCTGCATTTTCGGCAACCAAGTATCATAAATGCAGTTTAATAATCTGAAAAGTGACTATTTTAGTACTCAATGCTACTATTATCTCAGGATTATTTTACTTACACTTTGAAGCCAGGGGATGTAGAAAGGGCATGAAGATTTTTTAAGCATCCTACAATGATCACAAAACTTGAGCTGCTTGTATCGTATCTGTTAAGAGAAGTGGGGCAGGGGTGGGAGAAACCTGCATTTAGACACGCATAGGTCATTTATAATTCTCAATGACCATTCTCTTTCCATGTGTTGACCTACCTGAGTCCTATTTCTACTTGAGCTGTCTCTAGAACTGTGGTATCATCTTCACTATATGCAACTTCTTCACTATCATTTGGTCTAGAGAACAAAAATAAAAAATTGAAGGTTGCTGAAGTAGGGTCCCCAGCTGTTGGGACTATAATTCCCATCATCCCTCTGCTCGCTAGAGTTGATGGGAATCACAATTCAACAATATCTGGGAACCATAGGTTGAGAAAGGCTTAGATAGAACAACATTTAAACTTTTAAACACTAAAACACTCTACTTATACCATACTAAAACCACGAGATTGAAATGAATGTTGCATTAGTCCAGTTTGAAAGATTTTTAGTCTCCTGTGTACTGAAGATGTCAAAGTAGAATGGCAGAAAACAGCTACTTTCTTAAGGATTTAAGAAATAATGCTAAGGTTTATCTCACTAATGGCCAGTTATTTGAACATCTACTCTTGAAGGTTCATCATTATCTTTAATTGCCTGCACAAGCAAAGAGAGAACAAATCAATATCGGTGCTAGAAAAGCTCTCTTTTTCACTCGAATTGGTCTCAAGTTATGTTGAATCATGTTGCTTCTTTATTATTTACTACCTTTTTATTCTGATTATTATACACAAATATATTTTGAGGAGTGTGAGAGACTAGTTTTTTAACTATACATCTATTGTAAAATATTCTCGTTCTTGAAATTGCTACACTGTGATACTGGGTCAATCTCCTTTTTCTTCTCCAATTTGTTTGCTACAGTTAATGAACCAAAAGCTAATAATATAAATTATCGCTATTATGTCTTATTATGTCTTACACTTTATATTCCTATTTTATCATTCTTCCAACAAGCTTCCAGCAGCATGCACAGTCTCCTCCCACCTCATGTTAATTATTTGTATAATTAAACTTTTAAAATATGCATCTACAACATCTGATTATTTTATAAAACTTATAGAATGTTTCTGTTCTCTAACCTGAACTCAGATTTTTCAACAGTAAAAAAGACGAAAACAGCCATGCTGAATCAAACCAATGGCTGATTACGTCTCCAGGATTACGTCTGTACAGTGGCCAACAAGATGCCCCTAGGAAGCCATAAGCTTTCCTCATAAAGCATTTGCTCCAGTCCCTTGATAATTTTACTTTTTTCCAAGGGAAGAAAACTTGTCATTTTCTGCAACTTTTCCAGCTCTACTATATGCCTTCTAAGCTATGGTAACCAGAAATATACATAGTATTCCAAATGTGGCTACATCATAGCTTTGAATAACGGCATTGCATAATTAGCTTTGATTAATAACGGCATTGAATAAATAGCTTTGAATAATTAGCAGTTTTATTTTTTATTCCTTTCCTAATTCTGTTCAGCATGAAATTTGCCTTTTTCACAGCCACTGGACACTGAGTCAACATTTTAATCAAATATAGTCTCCTAATTTAAATTATGGCCAGGTTGAAAATTTTCCAATGAGTTCCAATATTCACTTCAAACAACAGCACATTCAAGTCATTCAAATCCCAAATATTAAAAAAAAAGCTATGCAAACCTTACCTGGTTGAATATCTGTTTTGTTCTACAGTTTTTGGCTATTGCATTGCTTCCCTGGTTATTGTTATCTGCCATTTCATTTACTTTTTGAAGTTCCAATTCACAGTCTCATTTGTTCACATTGCTACTTATTATGGCTGGCTGATCTTTACAAACATTTGTATGACATTGTCACCTTAGATGTGGTATTGTGTTATTATTTACAAAATCACAAGGATTATCATGGCCATTAATATTAAATGACAATGACCAGATTTGAATGGCACAATAACCCATCATGGGTGACAAGACATGGTTGACACATTGTATGACTCCAGAATGCTTCCTGAAGGGTGCACAATAAGCCATGCTGACAACCCATGGCTTGTCTGGTGTTTCTCGACTCCACAACAGATTGCTTTGTCTTTTGAATCCAGCCAACCGATGCCACTGTGGATTGTAGGATGCAGCTAATGAGCCAGTTGGCAAAAACAGCAAAAATCCCTTGCTGTTCCTGCTGAGTTTAGTGGGGCACTAACAGGCACCTCATGGATTCACTCACTGTGTCTTTTTTCTCCATTTTCTTTCTTCCAGGAGATTACTTTTCAATTTCACACTTTTTCACCTTCCCAAGCTGCTAGTCTCATGAAAAGGTAGAAAAGACACAGGTCATTGAGCAAAGACCATGAAGAAGGAGAGTTGGCTCCATTCATTAAAATTAGAGGGCTTTACTGCAAAGCGGGTCTTCTCCCGGCTACCCAATTTCATGAACAAAGAATACTCACACCTTTGTTTTCATTTTGATAGGTGCCAGGGGAAGCAAAAGAAATCTCTTTGAAGCACTCTGGATCAATGTCCATTATGGACCCCTGCAGCATATTGACAGCTGATACCCCCAAAACCATTCCGAGGTGACTGCCCATTTTGCATCCACACAAGAGGGCATCTGAGCATGTCCACCTAATATTTTTAAAAGGTGCAAAAATGTGTAAATTTTTCATGCTTAAAAATTAGTGGTCACTTTGGAGTGGCTGTCATCTTGGAGACTGTGGAAAGTGATCTCCAAAATAAAATGCAGTAAAGAAGAAAAAAGCCACAGCTAACAAAAAAGGCTTGACATTGAAGAAGCAAGAGAAGACTAGATAGCTTTAGCTGCCAAGTCTCTTAGGATATTAGTGGAAGACTGAGGTAGAAGGGAGGCAACCCACAGTGAGCCCAACTATCTGTTAGATGCCCTGTTGGTTGTTCAGCAAGCAACCAATTCTCCATTGGTTATTTGCACAGAGGGTTAATGTAATTTGCAAATGTGCCCAAACTGAGCAAATGAGGTTGTGAATTTTGAGAGTGGGAGAGCAGAAATGGAAGATCTTCATCAAAATACTGAGGTTTAATTCACAACTGCCCGAATCACTTAAAATTGAAACACTTTTTGATACTTACGAAAAAAATAACATTAGGTGAAGTAATTCATTTTTCATTCCTAAATACTACTTTTCAAACTGCTGCAAATGTCTGGACATTTTTTTAAATAAGTAGAATCACTTGTCTTAAACCTACTGTTTTACAGAAGCTTCATATACACCACTGTCTCCAGCCACAGATTCATCAGATACTGCAGCAGATACACACCCTGCCTTCTCCTCAAGCAGGCGACTTACTGTTCTTCTTGTTAAATCAACACCTAAGTAAAAAGGGAGGAAGAGAATCTTTGTTTCAGATTATACTGATCTGAAAAATGTATAAACAAAGCTCTTTAATCAAGTTGAAAAGGAAGTTTCTGTGCATCAAAGAGAGTAATTCATTTCATCTGAGTGCTTTAGAAAGACAGGCTATATTACTGTTACATTATCCAACATTTTCTGACCCAGAAAGATCCATCTCTAACTCCACCTAGAAACTGAACAAGCAAGAAAGAGAATGGCTGGGTTCACATCATGGCAAACAACCCTGTGCTGCTTCTTCGGTGTGTGGATTTTTGCCTGAATTTACTGGTCAGATGACAATGTGGTTCCCTGGGTAACAGTTTCTGTGCTCCCCATTCCATTCTCTCACTCTTTCCAACATACCAGCAGCCCCTGTAACTGAAATCATCCTTGCTCTGTGTTTCCTATGCACCCCAGTAGCCTTGTTCTAACTGGTTCACAGATGTTTTGAGGTAAGTTTTCCTCTTCCCACTCCTGAGTGTACCTCTATTTCTGGAATGCTTCCTAGTCTTTGAGCCACAATGCAATTTTTATTAAATCATAGTAAACACTTTTGCCACGATTCCTCCCTTCTCCCTCTGTGCATTCACCTGTTCTTTCCCTGTTTCTGAAATAAACAGGCAGATGGGCACATCACTTGGCCAATAAAAACAAATCAGAGTTAATGCATGTGTTGCTAGGGAGCTGAGGCAGTGGCTAATGAATGGCTTAGCAGCCACTTCCATGACTGCTCCTTCCATGGGACTCTATGGTGTTTTGATACCAGCAATGGTAAAATGGAGATCCCAGATCTGGATGACCAGAGAAGCTGTAGTGAAGCATGGAAAACATAGAACAGACCATTGACTGTGATTTCATAAAAGTAAAGGTACCATGGAGAAACTACATGACTGGGTCTTGATAATACAACGGACCAACAAGGGCAGGAAATCACCATGGTTTCTCATGATGTGTGAACCTGGACAATCTGTTAAGTACAGCTTATTGTATATAACTGAGAAAAGGCACAATTAATAAAATCCCCCTTTCCACAGCCATTAAAGACAAAGGTATATCCTCCTTTACATCTTGCCGCATCTTTTCTTCTCCTTCTCAAAACAAAATCAAAGCAACTACATCTTCTAATTTCTTTCATTTGTTAATTTTACATGATAAGAGTGAGAAATAATTCTCTTTCCATTCATTCTAAGCCTGGGTACTGTGGACTAATAGGGTTAGTATTAACCCCTATCCCAGATGGTAAAAACATTTAGTAATGTTAATCCAGATCAGTTTTCCTTGTGGCAATTAACAGAATTTAGCATTCTTCATCTAACATGAGTACATTTATGGTAATTTGAATATACCTTTATCACTAAAGTTCTCAAAGTTCATATGATCAACCCACCTAAATAACAGCTTATTCCTCTCTCAAATACAAATGGTGCATCTGTACCATTTTTCACTCCCTAAAAATGAAGAACATTGTGGGGGTGGAATGCAATGGTAAAGTGATCATGGGCAGAGCTGTGTATTATTCATTTAAAGCTTTCCTATACTGTCTTATATTTTAAAAATGTCAGGACAGTTTAGAAGAATGACCCACAGCTTGTCTTGCACCTGCTAAGCTAGCCTGCTGCATTTAGGTATGGTGGTAGATATTATCCTACTGACTTTTCTACATGGTCTTATACTTTGCCTCAGGGGGCAAAATGTCTTGGGTTGGGTCTACTGCAACCCATCTTAGGTCAGAATTATTACCATCTGTGGACCCTAGCCAGTTGGTGAAAAACCAATGTACTCCATATCTTCATTAGGATTTTTGTGCCCTAATGAGTTCTGAAGCTCAACACACTTACTGCTTTCCTCAAAATGGCTCCCATCACCATTATCTTTAGCCACAAGCTTATTTTTTCCCACCTTCCAGTTCTACCATCTCAATCATATTTGAGAAATGCTATCAAGTACAGTGCGTGAGCAGCCTTCAAACAGAATATAGGGAGAAGCAAAACCAAAGCTCTGCCAACAAG